CTAATCTTCTTACTGGGTTAAGCAAGAGGATTGAGCTGCTATTCGGTTAAGCTCAACAACAATAACTTTAATGCCCTCCTCTGCCTTGACTGGGGATTTGCTTGAGCATGCTCAATGTTATGATGCAATCCTAAAGAGTTAGTTCTCTCTGTCAGAACTCACTTTAGTTTAAAAGAAAGCCAAAAGTACCAACCTGTTGGCGCCATGAGTGTGTATGAAGGATTGTGCTTGATATTGTTACATGGAAAAATAATCCACTGTGCAAATGTAGGACGGAATGGTTGCACTGATTAACACACTCATTGCACTTAACGAGCATTTGTTGATGAAGAGTGTCACTGTGTCAAGTGTAGGCTGACGCTGTGATTTGCAATCGTTTATACTCTTCAAAGGCTTCATTGTGGGGAGTTTAGTTGATACACCGCATTAGGTTTAGTGTCAAATGTGCATGTAGATGGTTTGGAGTCCCACTTTCGTTCAGCAGCGCGGAATAACGCATCACCATGATTAACGATGCCCAAAAGCGCTTGACACTGGCGATAATTGTCAAAATCGCCCGTTTGTAGTTCCAACCAAACTCCTCCTGTCTACCATGGCTTTTACCTCAAGGTTTGTGAACTGTCTCACGTACTCTTCAAATCCTTAGAACCACAAGAGATGAGCCCCAACATCCACCTCCACCTCCACCTGCCAAGCCCCAGCCCAGTGAACATACACATTTTCAACCGGAGAAGGAACTTGTGAAACAAGACGGTCATCCTCCATTGCCCCTGCCAGGTAATCGAGAAGTCGGCTAAGACAGAGAGTCGCTTTTTACCAAAAGAAGGGTTAACAAGTAAGGAAAAGTTACAGTCGTGAGGTAGATTCGGTCCAGACCGAGTGGGGATTATGAGACTTATGAGAGTCACATGTGGCTATCGGCAGTGACTTGTGAAGTACTCTAAACAGGGGCTATTGTGTGTATGATGCAATTCAGCTGCCTGCCATTCACCACTATGCTACTGATGGTTTGGATAAAGGCACCGATGCTACGGTACAAAGTAAAGTTAGATGTGAGCAAAGTAGGGCAAAAATAGACTTCTTTTTCTTCCCTCTACATTAATTAATAAAAGATGACAATTGTGTCTGTGTTAGGAAACAATTTAGGTATGCAAACAATGCACCAAATTCACGACTTTTGGCCATAAAAATTCGTCATTTTTGTAGTGAGCAAGAAAAGGTTGATCGAATCTCACCCAAATTCCAGAAGTCAACTTTTAAAAGGCATTCAATTCCGTAACCTTTTAAAATGCATCCCAATGGAGAGCAATCCGAGAAATCATTAGCTAATTCTCTTGTATTTTGGTACGGTGTCACACTTTGGAAAGTTGATGGACAATTTAATCCATATGAACTGCGTTTGTTTACCAATTGAACCGACCTACTTATTTGGAAACGAGTAGCATCATGCCCTTGATTGCGTAAAACGAATTTTTTTTTCTTTAAGAACACGAAGCAAACATACCAAAAGGACCACCAGACAACTACAGTACGTAAATTACTAAGGGTTCAATTTTTAACTTCCGCTGGCATTTCCACCATAATGTTTGCAGATGAATTCTGGTAATACAGTCGTGAGGAGTGAGCATAGAATGTAAAGTGCAATTACTGCTTCCACAAAAGAATTTTTTGTAAAATGATTCAATTGTCCCAACAAGAATGCATTTTAGTGAAAGGCTTTAATTATTATTGTTGATCTGTACCGTTTTTTGTCTTTTGGACTAATCATGAGTGTGCTAAGCCTAGCGAATTCGAGGAAACGCCTTATTTTGGTTTTTGTATCCGACTCTTTTCTTTTTAAGAGCACAAACCTAACGTACCCACAAAGCCACCATCTAGTTCCCGTATGTCTCTATCCACCTTTTTCCTAATCCAAACTACCGTTAACTTGCCCTCACGGTAGTAATGACCAGTTTCACTGAAACGCGCATCGCTAACTGGTGTGAATTAAGATTTGTAAAGGACCAACAATAAACGGATTACCAGACCACTTGGCTTGGTGCAACTCTGGACTTCTTTTGCCATAATAATAAGAGATCTGTTACTAACAAAGCTTAGGTGGCACTAACATATCATGGTATCCAATTTGCTACTTAAAAACTTATGAGTAGAATCACACGGTATTTCTTATTCAACTAGTTTGATCGTTTTAAATTTCCTCTACCTGTTCAAATGTTTCGTGGCGTAACCTTTAGGGAATTTGGCACCTAAATATAGCTGTCGGTGATCATTTTGTTTACTGCTTCAGCCTAATAATCTTTGAAGTATATTTTGATAGTAGGGCCTTCACACTGTCATTAACAAGCGGATCTTAACAGGTCTTTGGAGTGGCTATAATTTGGCAGTGAAAAAGAATACTTGCTTCTTCAGCTGCAATCGCCATTGCGCATTGCTTTCATTTAAGATTTTTTAATTTCTAAGAACAAGGATCAAATGTACCCACGAATACTCCACAGAAACCCAGTACGTTCTAGTCTCCCTCTCCTTTAGTGTTCACACAACTTCTCCAGACATAACCCAACAATGCTGGCCCATGTTACTCGCTTCAAAATAAATGCTAAAAGTAATGTTGAGGAAACATATAAAAGAGCAGCTAGTTCTGCGAAAGCAAAGTTGTTTTTGAAAAAAACTAAATGCTTAATTGCTACACGCTTAAATTTTCCCGCTGCTTTGCTAGTCATCACAGATTTTAGGCGCCGCTTTGACTCATTGGCAAAATGACCTACTTATTTTATCAAAAGTAGTAATAAGCCTTTATTGCTAATGTGAATTTTTCTTTCTTTTTAAGAAACCGAAGTCAATACAGCTTCTCAACCACCGGAAACTTCCAGTACGTTCTATTATACCTTCCCCATGTTTTCAGCAACTCTTTCACTAGTTCAATCGCACTGAGCTCCGGTGACATTTGATAGAATGCAATGGTTACAATCTGTACCTTAGGACTGGAAATTTCGCGAAGAATAATTTTATAGTTAGAGCGTTTAACCAAAGAATAACCTTGTGTGAAAGATCTAAATGAGCAGTTCTGTTCCAACTTGTTTAATTTCTCTGACTTCCTTGTTATTAACTTACTTGTGGTGACTGATCTGAGGATCTGATCTGTCTCATCACCTTTTTTCTTGCGCGCACACAAGCTTACCTTTATTTCAAACTAAAACACTCTCTTTTTTAAGAAAGCAACTCCACCTCACCTACAGAGGAGTCGGGCAATTCCAGTACTTCTTTGTTTTGCCTACGCAAAACTGTTTTTCATTATTTAAGATTTGATCACCTTAAATAAACTTTTTTAATGATTCTAACACTCGGTTTTACAGAATTAGTCTTTTTTTGCCTGATCATTACGAAATTGGCTCTAACGACTCATACAGGTCATTTCATTTCAACACCGAGATTAACCTACTTATTTGTTTATAAGTAGAACCATATCACTTCCTTAACGTGATTTTCTTTATTAAGAAAACCAACCCACTGAACCTACACAACCTCCACGCAGTTCTAGTAAGTCCTGTCCTGTCCTACCCTTTCTACACATCACACCCTTGCACTACTCACCTATAATTTCGATGTTATCACCTTTAAGGAAGTTGACGTTCACAAATGACTGGAAAAAGGGACCCTGTAAATGGTTTTCTTGCATAAAACTAACATTTATTGGAGTATAAACAAATAGTAAGCATGATACAACACCACATGTGAGGATCTATTACTTTTGACTCATTATGAGCTGGGAGCCTTAACTTAGTCCTCAGGATCGGTCACATCTGGTGTTTTGTAAATGCATATGAGCCCAACTTTCTCCCTTAAGCTTTCCCCTCTGTCCACCCATCTGCGCCACCAGAGTCATTGGCTAACAAGAGTGCTCCACACTCTCCCAACATTTCGTCCTCATTGAGATCAGAATCGCCAGTTGATTGGGTTCTCCTAAAAGAGGAGGAGCTGGACAAAGTGAGTGACTAGCATTTTCACCGTTTTTCTAATTTTTTTCTGTAGCTGAATTGAGTGTAGAGAATTGTAGAATGTGTCACAATATCAATATCCTTCCTTCTGTACTTCCTCAATGGTTTAGTCGTTCACTATCAATGTATTGCCCCTATTTTAAAGCACTTCTATCAACGGTGTCAAACCTATTCTGGGAGGTAGAATTAGTTTACACAGTAACCACAAGGACGAAAAAGAGGTACTGTATGCATTTCAAAAGGCAGCTGGAGAGTTTCGACTTAAATAGGTTTGAGGCTTACAACGACAACTCCATCTTGTGCTTCCTTTAGGAGTTGGCGGATGTGGGAGAAGAACTCTACTTCGACGCGGGTTAGTTGTACACTTATTGCTCTTACCTAGAGGCAACGAACAGAGTAATTCACACCTCCTGCCTTTGAACACCTAGAGTGGCCGGTGCCCGACTTCTTCGCCAGCGTTCGTGGCCAGGAAGCGTGGGAGACATTCAGTCCTTTGAATGTCAGAAAGAGCGATGTAAATCCCTACTGTACTGCACTTTACTCATTATTCCACGGCATATTTCAACACACGACAAGTGGCAATGAGACCTATGTTTTTACGGAGGTGATAAAGTTAGTCGTGGGATGGGAATTACATTTGTGTTTCCCAAATAGTTCCCT